CATTTTCAAATAAAGTTAGATAATATATACACACTTAACACTAAGAATAGGGGTGGTAGGAGAAGAAAATATCAAAGTGTTCAGTGAGGATCCACAAGGTCTTCTCTGAGTACTCTTTATTTTCTTCTCCGAGGCTATGGGTCCCTACACTTGCACCAGAGGTGGTACCCCTTCTAGGTATATTATATATATATATATATATATATATATATATATATATATATATATATATATATATATATATATATGTCGTACCTAGTAGCCAGAACGCACTTCTCAGCCTACTATGCAAGGCCCGATTTGCCTAATAAGCCAAGTTTTCATGAACTAATGCTTTTTCGACTACCTAACCTACCTAACCTAACCTAACCTAACTTTTTCGGCTACCTAACCTAACCTAACCTATAAAGATAGGTTAGGTTAGGTTAGGTAGGGTTGGTTAGGTTCGGTCATATATCTACGTTAATTTAACTCCAATAAAAAAAATTGACCTCATACATAATGAAATGGGTAGCTTTATCATTTCATAAGAAAAAAATTAGAGAAATATATTAATTCAGGAAAACTTGGCTTATTAGGCAAATCGGGCCTTGCATAGTAGGCTGAGAAGTGCGTTCTGGCTACTAGGTACGACATATATATATATATATATATATATATATATATATATATATATATATATATATATATATATATATAAGTGGATATTGTCTTCTCCTACCACCCCTATTCTATATATATGTATATATATATATATATATATATATATATATATATATATATATATATATATATATATATATATATATATATATATATATATATATATATATATATATATATAACGAACAAGCCTGAATGGTCCCCAGGACAATATGCAACTGAAAACTCACACCCCAGAAGTGACTCGAACCCATACTCCCAGATGCCCCGCAACTGGTATGTACAAGACGCCTTAATCCACTTGACCATCACGACCGGATAATGAGGTGATAGCCGAGGCTATTTGAACCACCCCACCGCCGGCACTGATATATATATATATATATATATATATATATATATATAATGGTATGTACAAGACGCCTTAATCCACTTGACCATCACGACCGGACATAATGAGGTGATAGCCGAGGCTATTTGAACCACCCACCGCCGGCACTGATATATATATATATATATATATATATTATATGGGGCATATATATATATATATATTAGTATGTCGTACCTAGACCGGACATAAGGAAGTGATAGCCGAGGCTAGAAGAACGAGCTTCTCAGCCTACTATGCAGGCCAAATTTGCCAAATAAGCCATATATTATATATAATATATATATATATATTATATATATATATATATATATATGTCGTACATTTTATCAAATCACCTCATTCTTTGGGGCACACGTGAGGAACACAAATGCAAACAAGCCTGAATGGTCCCCAGGACTATATACAACTGAAAACTCACACCCCAGAAGTGACTCGAACCCATACTCCCACAACTGGTATGTACAGGGACGCCTTAATCCGCTTGACCATCACGACCGGACATAAGGAAGTGATAGCCTAGTAGCCAGAACGCATATAATATTATATATAATATATATTTATATATATATATATATATATATATATATATATATATATGTCGTACCTAGTAGCCAGAACGCACTTCTCAGCCTACTATGCAAGGCCAAATTTGCCTAATAAGCCAAGTTTTCCTGAATTAATATATTTTCTCTAATTTTTTTCTTATGAAATGATAAAAGCTACCCATTTCATTATGTTGTATATATGAGGTCATTTTTTTTTATTGGAGTTAAAATTAACGTAGATATATGACCGAACCTAACCAACCTACCTAAACTAACCTACCTATCTTTATAGGTTAGGTTAGGTTAGGTAGTAGAGAAAGTTAGGTTAGGTTAGGTTAGGTAGGTTAGGTAGTCGAAAAACACATTAATTCATGAAAACTTGGCTTATAGGCAAATCGGGCCTTGCAGTAGGCTGAGAAGTGAGTTCTGGCTACTAGGTACGACATCTATCTTTATAGGTTAGGTTAGGTTAGGTAGTAGTTGTAGAAAGTTAGGTTAGGTTAGGCCTTGCAGGTAGGTTAGGTGTCGAAAAACAATTGAGTTCATGAAAACTTGGTTATTAGGCAATCGGGCCTTGCATAGTAGGCTGAGAAGTGAGTTCTGGCTACTAGGTACGACATATATATATATATATATATATATATATATATATATATATATATATATATATATATATATATAATATATATATATATATATATATAACATTAACAATTGTGTAACTAGCTTCAAAAGATTGCCACTTGCTTTGCTAAATGAACTATGGGGTTCATTTCCTGAACCCACTATGTTCCTCTGTAACCCCTTCGTCAACCGCCCACGGGATGGGTATGGGGTGCATAATAAAGAAAGCAATTTAATTATTACATTTGTCAAGGAAGAGCTTCAGATCAGGATTTGCATTTAAGAACAGGGTTCTTGTAAATCAAAGTGGCTCAAGAAAATGTGTGGAGTGTGTTTATGTTCAGTATGTTTAGGGATGTTGTCTGAAAACAGAGTTTGTTATTGTTCAGATAGCAGATTTTTTGTGGGTGATGATAGGGTTGAGATGGTTTGCAGAGGTTGAAATCCATGCACAGATACCGTATGCAAGTTAGGGATAGATTAGCGCGTAGTATAATGAGAGGAGAGCAGAGTTAAGAATGTAATATCTGATTTTAGAAAAGTCTGTGACCCCCTGCAACGGATACAGGCACACAATAGAACTGAAGGAACACATACTCCAGAACTTTGTTTGAACTACACAAGGAGTAGACGAAACAATAAACTAAAACCATACCAGACACAACACACACCCAGCACAGCCAGAACATGCAAGGATGGAAGACGCCTCCGAACCGCACAACAGGACACGCATGCACAGAAGGGTCACATGTAGAACAATACAAACACACAACACACACACAGCTCCGTCGTAGTGAGCAAAGCGGGAGAAACACCACCGCACCCTGCGACAGAAACACTCGCACACAGAATTAAGGTCCCATATACAAAAGGGGCCAACCATCACAATGGCAAGAGGAAAAAAATATTGCAATTCACATGGCAACGTCGAACACCGCCCTGTAACATGACATGGAAAGGGCAGACTTCAACTCAGGGCCTCCTTAAAAAAAAAAAAACCTTAACACCATATACTTCACACAACCAGCCATTCAAAATAACAGGAGAAAAGAAACGCTCATGAACTTTAAAAAATGGGGACGCAGCCGCAAACTCACGGGTGAAAGACAGGACACAACGCATCAGGCGGCATATTAATTGTCATCCGACAATTAATATGGAAATCAGGACGATCAGGACGATAAACGTTCCTAGAAACCCGAGAAGCAGGGAGGGGGGCGCACGAAGAGGCGGAATCCCCAAAAGGAGAGGGCACAGACCCTCTCTTAAGCACCAACCGTTAAGTGTCCTCGCGATCACCGGCACTAGGCTCAACAACCCCCCCCCCCCCCCCACCGAGACCATCTACATACGGAGGCCCGCACACCGGTAGCAACAAGAGAGCAACGTTTTCCCCGTCCCTACTCCGGGTCAACCACATCCTCCACCACCGCACCAATGTCATCCTCCAACTGCTCAAACAGGGTCTTCAAAATCTCGGGAAACACACCAAAGAAACCTTCCTCTGCCTCTTCTGTTCCGGCACCAGCGGAGCCAGACCCGATGCTTCTTGAACTCGACGTGGGGGACGCACACACATTGGCAAGGAAGTCGGAGACGCCTCCCGAGACGAGGGGAGAAACCCTCACCCCTAGAGGCCCTAACTGCAGAAACATGTTCACCAGATCCGCTCCCCAAAGCAGATGGGGACGCCACCTGCGGAGCCGCCACCACTACCACATCAGTCGACACACAGTGCACCTCCACCGGCACAACGGCTGCACACACAGCCCGGGAGGCATATCCCCATCCACACACAGGCGGATTGTCAACCCTAGGGAGCACAGTGCGCTCTACCGGCTTCTGGTAGGCATCTGGGACATGGACACAGACAGGTGCAACTTCAGGAAGGCTGGGAAAAGGGCCAACTTTATCAGGCAACACGTCCGACAGAATCCTGCTGGGTACGGAAGGAGCTAAAAGTCATCTTCCCTGAGGATGTTGACACGATCAGTCGCTCCCAGGGAGCAAGCCACCGCCAGGTAGCCCTGCTGGCAACATTTATAACAAGCATGGGACTGACCTTTCTACAGTCAGTGGAGCGTAAACCCCATCAGGGATAACGAAAACGGGGCACTCCGCCCCAAGGACATCGTCACAGTCCGGGTGCCAGCAAAAATCCCTGACATTGGCCAGCAGATGATGTAATATAATGTAATGATGTAATATAATGTATTAAGGGAAATGTGCGTATTTATATGTGATATCCACTTCATTCACACAACCATATTACCTGCCACATTTTAACGCGTGTATTTTCAATAAAACGTAACGCATTAGGATTGCAATAGATTCAAAATGTATATTAATCTGTGTTCGTTCATATAATATAATTGAGGAACTTGGGGGTATTAACTGAGAAATGGAATTCAAATTGTTTAATGAAATTAAATTGTTTTATTGGTATGTTGAAAAAGCAAGAACGTCACAATAACTGTGATTAAGTCCCCACAAACATTGACTGGTTTAGGACACAACAAGCAGATAACGTTCAATGAGGCTTCTAAGCCAGCAGTCAGCTTAGCAAGAAAGATCGAACCAGGTGCTCCAAGAGACCCACACCTGAGCCCACTGGTGTGTGTGAAAACAGCACACATAGCACTAACACCACACAGGGCCCACCACCTCACTAGGCCCCACCACCTCACAAGGCCCACCACCACACTTTTTATTTTGTTTTGGTGTAAGTATTAAATAGAAAATGGAAGATTGTGGTATAGGCAACTGATACACAATTTAAGATCTTAATTTTATTCCAATTAGTTTTCCAGCAAGGCCAATGTTATTGGTTTCTTGAAGCTGTTGATTCTTGCATTTGTTGGTTCCTTGCATCTGCTCATTCTTGCATTGTTGGTTTCTTTCAGATGTATTTACTGCACAAAAGATGACGGTATTCATCTAACAGAGTTCACATGTTGATGCCTAATATACATTCGACAATTTGCATATTTTAACAGCGAGTGTATGGTCTTTTTCATATGCTAATGCACTTAGCCTATCCTATGTTGACATCTTGGATATTTTGTCATTTTATGGTTTACAATTGTTTATCGCTTACACATCTTTCTCATTATATTGTCACATATTACAGGTGTCTTGCATATGTTGATATCACTGGGTGCTACTGTCTTCTGTAAGTAGGCGAATCATCTTATGCACATGTTTGTCTAATGTGTTTTCTGGAAAGCTATAAAGCTTATGAGATTTGTTTTCTATTAGAAAATGATCATATTACGTAATAAATAATTTGTAATAGCCTTTAGCAATATTTTATTTTATTGTTAACTTTTTCACATAAAATAATCGTTTTAATACAAAAACAGTGACATTTAATCCATTAAATTTAAACTGGTAAATTTAGATCTTTTATTAATATATCTAAGTTATATTTCCTATCTCTTAAGTTACCACAATTAATGAAGTAAATTTTAATTTAATCTTTGTTTAATATTTTTCATAATAGGCCGTATTTTCTTCTTTGTTGTAAATTGATTGTGGGTGAACTAATTAATTCTAAACATTATAATTATATATTTTTCAGCTGTTGCTTAAATAAAAATAATCATTAGAGAAAATTATGAACTCTTATCAAGGATGACTGTAATGTTTTGATCTTAACTTCTTGAGATGGTGCAGCGGTCTTAGGCTGTCGACATGGTCTTGCAGTAAGACCTGTCCTGGATGACTACTTCAGGAGATGGTGTGGTGGTCTTACATAGTCGACGTGGTCTTGCAGTAAGACCTGTCCTGGATGACTACTTCAGGAGATGGTGTGGTGGTCTTACATAGTCGACGTGGTCTTGCAGTAAGACCTGTCCTGGATGACTACTGCAGGAGATGGTGTGGTGGTCTAGCAGTAAGACCTGTCCTGGATGTCCTGGATGCTCTGCCGTCACCGTCATCATCCCCCTGTTAGGTACAAGTAACTGTATGAGACAAAGAACACAGATGAATGGTTCAGATAAAGTTGGAAAGGTAGTTTATATGTGGGTGATACAAGGACGTGGACCAAACACCGGATACTACTGGGGAAGTTAGTTTTACTTTGTTGCAAATTGGAACAATTATGTGGATTGTTTAACTGCATAAAATACTCTTTAAACCATATTACTGGAAATTTCTGGAAGCCTGCTACCTTTTTCCTATAGTACTATTTCCCTATTTTAGATTTTCCATTTTCTCATCCATGCTTTACGCTATTTTTCTTTCCCAATAATTTTCATCTTCATTTTACTCCATCTTTATTTTATAATTTTACTGTTGCACAACTTTATCTTTATTACATATTAAATTCACCCACTCTCATTACTTTGACAATCCTCATTTTCCCGAATTTTATTGGGTTGGGAATTACACTTTAATAAATATATTTCTCACTAACGGAATAAGTGACTTAATTTAACATACCTGAATGTACCGATTCGTTATCATTAGTGGTGTTCCTTACTCTTATCGTGCTTGGCTGGGGTGGGATGGTTTGCTGGTTGAGGTTGATGATGGGTGGTGTGTGTGGCGATGGCAGTGAGGGTTGTGGTGGTGGACGGTGGTTGTTGGGGCATTGGTGGTTGTAGTGCAGGTTGCAGCCACAATGCCAGTATTGTTCCATTTGCAGTTCGTCAGACACACCATTTCTGTGCAGTTCTCGGATCTGGAGGAAAAAATATATATTTTCAAATGTTGAAATCTTCCCCCAGCCTCACTCGGTGCACCGTAAAGAGGATTATAAAAAGTATCAAGACCTTACAGACGGCTTCAGTATGATGAGTGTAGCTGGAAGGTCATCAGAAACTTTAAAATGATGAGTCCTGATGGGTCACCAAGGTGGTTTTACAAAGTTCTCCTTCGGGACCGTTGTGACTCCCACGAAAACAAAATAATGCAAATTAGCACGCAAGAATTCTGGTAACAGGGACATCAGGGTGAAAGAAATTCTGCCCATTTGTTTCTGCCGGCACGGGAAACGAATCCCGGTCCACAAGACTACGTATCAAGCGTGCTGTCCACTCAGCCACTGGCTCCAGAAAAAAGTGTGTGTGTAATTACCTAAATGTAGTTACCGGATGAGAGCTACGCTCGTGGTGTCCCGTCTACCCAGAACTCTTCAAGGCGTTATATGACAAAGACATAGTCTTTGTCTCATACAGTTACTTGTACCTAACAGGGGGATGATGGCGGTGACGGCAGAGCATCCAGGTCATCCAAGACAGGTCTTACTGCTAGACCACCACACCATCTCCTGCAGTAGTCATCCAGGACAAGTCTCAAGTCGTTATATGACAAAACTTTGAAACTGTGTGTGTGTGTGTGTGTACTCACCTAATTGTGCTTGCAGGGTTTGAGCTTTGGCTCTTTGGTCCCGCCTCTCAACTATCAATCAACTGGTGTACAGATTCCTGAGCCTATTGGGCTCTATCATATCTACACTTGAAACTGTGTATGGAGTCAGCCTCCACCACATCACTACTTAATGCATTCCATTTACTAACTACTCTGACACTGAAACAATTCTTTCTAACGTTTCTGTGGCTCATCTGGGTACTAAGTTTCCACCTGTGTCCCCTTGTTCGTGTCCACCCGTGCTGAAGAGTTTGTCTTTGTCCATCCTGTCAATTCCCCTGAGAATTTTGTAGGTGGTTATCATGTCTTCCCTTACTCTTCTGTTTTCCAGGGATGTGAGGTTCAGCTCGTTTAGCCTTTCCT